AACAATTATTTATTGAGTTATTAATTAAAATATAATTATAAAAAAATTGCCATTTTTTTCTTAACACACTGTATATATATTAAATAATAATTTATTGAAAATAAAAATATCAATCCAATAGATTATATACTGTATGTTTTGATAACAACCATTATTGCTGCATCTCTTACAGTCCTGTGCTTTTATTATTAAAATCACAAAATTTTGAACCACGTTACATAAATTTCAACAAAGAAAACAATCAACTTTAAAACTTGGAATATAATTATATTTATAATTACATAAATTATATAGTATTGTAGGAAGTTGAATTGATATCTTTATTACATAGTAGTCCAAATTCCACGTATCAAGAATCTTTCAGTTAAACACTTAATAACAAACGACGTGGATCTTCGACTTGTTCCTTAACAATCTTCAAGAATGTAACAGCCTCACGTCCATCAATTAAACGGTGATCATATGTGAGGGCAACATACATCATCGGACGAATTTCAATCTATTTAAAGAAATATTCACAAATGTTATCATTGATTAATCAATAAATTAAATTAAATTAAAATAATAATCTGAAATCATCGACCTTTCCATTAACCGCAATGGGGCGTTCTTTCGTGGCATGCATACCCAATATCGCACTTTGTGGCATATTAATGATTGGAGTTCCAAAAAGCGATCCGTAAACTCCCCCGTTAGAAATAGTAAATGTGCCTCCAGCCATATCTTCAATGGTCATTTTTCCTTCGCGTGCCTATAACGCAAAAAAAAAAAAAAATCAGTTAACTTCTACATTCGTAAGTCAAGATCGAAATATTACCTTTTGTCCCAATTCTGCAATAGCCTTTTCTATTTCTATGAAAGATAATGAATGGACATTACGGACTACAGGTGTAACTAGACCTTTTGGAGTGGCCACTGCAACACTCATATCAACATAATCTCTGTAGAGGATTGTATCACCGGATTCTGAAATAGAAGCATTTACCGCAGGAATTTCCTGGAGAGCAAATACTGATGCCTTGACAAATGCGGACATAAATCCTAATTTTATCCCATGTTTCTTAATAATTACATCCTTGTAAGTATTACGGAGTTCAATGATGTTGCTAGTGATAAAACATTAAAAATTTCATTCGTGAAAATAATCATAACGTAATAGGCTTAATAAGATGTCAAGAGATGTGTAGGTGTGTAAATTAAAAAGTTGTAAACCTCATATCGATTTCATTAAACGTTGTCAAAGATGCAGCCGTATTTTGTGATTCTTTTAAACGTTCAGCAATTCTTAAACGCATCCTATTCATTTTGATCTAAGGAAAATAAAGTATCATGCCAAACGCGCGTTATACATTGTCTCGTATTATGCACGTAAGTTATAATTTATACCTACTTGGCGTTCTTCGCGTTCTCCATAAAGAACGTCAGCCTTTCTCGGGGGCAAAGATTGTTCAGGGGTAGGTGAAGTTGCGGCAGGTTTAGGTTCGGGAGGGGACGTAGTCACAGCAGGTTTAGGTTCTAGTGTAAAACGTAAGATTATATTAAATAACCCAATAGTATGATGTACAAGATTTGTGATATACGAAGATACCCGATTGAAGTGGAGATGGTTCTGGTGAAGGCGGAGAGGTTGTTGCTTTCTTTTCATCTTTGATCTCTTCTTTAACTTCTTGTTTTTGCTCTGGTCTTACAACTTCTTCCTCTTTTGAGGCCGTTGCATCAGGACCTATGTACAATACATTAAAGGTTACATAAATTGCGCAATTGATATATAATAATATTAGACAATTAAAAAACATACCGGCAGTTGCAGCATCTCCTAATTCGATCTTGAAAAGATCTTGACCTACTGTCACAGTGTCTTGTTCATTTGCGTAAAGCTCAAGTAT